AAACCTTTCTGGAAGCTTTCTGCAACAATCTGTGCTGTATGGGTAGTTACTAAACTGGATTACAAGTCGTCGTATAAACGTAGTCATTAATGCCGCTGTCTATACTTACTCCTAAATTTATATAAGCATATACATTGAAATTGTAATAAACTACACTTTCTGCTATTTTAGTTTATCTAAAATTGTATATATGTGTTGTGTGTTGTATGTATAAACGTGTGTTGTGTATACACACTGACACATATATCACAAAAATAATGAAAAATTTAATTTTATTATTGAAAATGTTAATGTGTAAGAAAGATATATTAATCTTCCTGATCATACAATTACTAATTGTTTAAAGTATTATATATCTCATTATACTATCATATCTTATTTTTGCTTATAGAACAAGGTGCTTTTATCTCTTCAGAAGAAGTTACGGAAAAACGTTTTATCAAAATGTTAAACAGCAGAAATTCAACGAGTTGTTTAAATTCGTCCAATGCTAGATCTTCCAGGGAACGTAAAAATTGCCTGAAGCGTGCCTTGCAGCAAACATTAGTTTTACGTAATAAAAAAAATTGTTTTAGCTTCTTTTTACTCTGTACTTAAATATATGACCAGTTAAGAAATAATTTGCAGAGGAAGTGGCCAATGGTTCCACAATAAATAAGCTGGATGAAGCCATAAACGAAGTCGACCATGTTACTTCTGAAACAAGTATAGAAGAAAAAGGTATAAAAAACTTTAAAGTTATATTTTTTTTACATATGCGATATTATTCTCGTATAATATATAAAATTATACAAAGTTTTACATTATATGTACGAGATAAACTATACTCCATCCAACGAGAAATTGAAAGTTGTTCTGCTCATAGGCGGGCAAAGTGAGAAAAGCGTAGCGCGCTTGTATACGGCATGGCAGTGTGGAGAGGGGCTTCCTAGGTCTTCCGTGGGGGGAAAACTTGCGCGAGACGGACAAGTTTTCGTCCGATCTACTCTCAATCTCTCGTTGAACAGAGTATACATATATATATATATATATATATATATATATATATATATATATATATATATAAAATTTGTATATATGTATATATATAATAATAATTTTATTTAATCCTTGCCTTGCGGCTTAGGATGACTTCCATCAACTCTTACATAAATTTACAAACATACACATAATTTGCAAACATATAACTTTCTTTTTAACATACATATATATTATACATCACTTAGATCATTTTAACTAACTCTAATACTAATTCAACATTCTAACTGTCTTTCAATTTCCCTTCCTACTCTTCACCCTCCATCCCTTCCCTTTCCTCCGATATATGTATATATATATATATATATATATATAATAATAATAATAATAATATATGTATATATATTTAATACATAATGTAAGATACATATTTATGTGATAAATCATGTATTGGAACAATAATATTGCAATTTGATAAAAATTAGAAAACCTTGTGTGTGTGTGTGTGTGTGTGTGTGTGTGTGTGTGTGTGTGTGCGTGTGTGTGTGTGTGTGTATATATATATATATATATATTTTACTTTATTATAGATTAATCCATATTTTATTCATATTTTTAGTCTCTAATCAGCAGGAGGTGCTTATCGATTCACAAATGATGACGTCATCTTCCAAAGTTCTAAAAACTTGCACTATCTCACTGACAAAGAGAATGCGCGACTATGATCATATCGACTTTTCACAAAAATTGGTAGATTTGATGATTATAATTATATATCTATATTTATCTATGCTATCGGTCAAAAATTTGAGACCATTGAACATGTCTATATACAAAATGAAATCAAAGTTATGCATTATAATTTGACATATTTTTAGTATTTTATTCATCGCTTTATGAAATGAAAAATAATATAAAATATTTGAAAATTTTGTTAAAAAAAATTTTTTTACAAGATGAAAAAAGTATTAGACACTAAAAAACAGACACTTTTTTCGTTGAAGTAGTTATCCTTACATCTAATTACTATTTTTTTTAGTAATCTAAGTACTCAGCTACAAGTTTATTTTATTTTTTTCTGACAAGACTTCCATTTTCTTGAAATTAATGCTAGATTAATCACAACTGTGCTAAATATAATGCCTATTTACTTTCAAATTAAGAAAAAATATTGAGTAAAATACGAATCAGATTTTTACATCATGTTTTACTGGAATAGTTTTAAGTTTTATATATGGTCTGAACTCAACTTTTGACAGTAGTATACATTCTTGATATTAAAATGCTTAACAAAATTATATTACGTATGTTGCTACTTCTAAGCTTTATTTTATTTATTATTTTTCTCATTATTATTATTATCATATAGTTATTTTTGTAATATCTATGTCTTAGGTAAAACATTTGCAAGAAACATCAGGAAAATCACAGTCTCCGAATTGGTCACTTTTAGAGAGACGGGTAACAAAATTGTTTAAAAGGATTGCTAATAGCAGCACACTATTAGGTCTGTTTAAAATTATTAAAAATAAAAAAAGTACATTTTCCTAACGCGAGCGTGAAATGGACCGCTTTTCGCGCTTGTTTTGAGTGAGCAAAACGATTCATTTCTCCACTAGTTGAGAAATGGCTTCATTTCTCAACTAGTGGAGAAATGAAAATTGTAAAACAAGCGCGAAAAGCGGCCTGTTTCACGCTCTTATTAGGAAAAATAGTATGAACAACTCGTGGGAAGAGTGGTCGAGCCCAAATGAGTGCGACCAACTTCACACTCATTCAGAATCGACCACATTTCCCACTCGTTGTACAAATATATATATATATATCACAAATATATATATATATATATATATATATTTGTGAATATTTTTTTAGGCATATTGTCAAGTAATTTTAAATTTGTACTTATATTTAAAAAATCTAGTTAAATTTCTGGAAATTTTTATTTCAGGCACATTGGATCCTTTAGAGAAGAAGATAATAGTTAGGAAGAAACCTGAACAGAGAGTAGCATCGCAACCTGCAGTGACAGTACCTGATAAACTGGTGCCACATGCAAACACAAAGGATGAAGACAGTGTCGAACGTACTGTGAGAAAGATTAAAAAGTTAATAACATGTTACTGTAAAGAAGCTGGAAAACCGCTCGATTTCTTTCAATTGATTCTGCACCCCCATGATTTCGGAAGGACCATTAGAAACATGTTATACATATCGTTCCTTGTAAAAGATGGAGTAATGAAATTGAAAAAAGGTATGTTTTTATCTTTTCAAACACAAGTAGTTCCATCTTTTTTTCTTCTTATTTATTATCAAAATTTGATTATTTTTATCTCAGATCATAGAAGTCTCGTTGTGGAACCATATCACAAGGAAATAAATTCACAACAAAAACGATCTAGCAATAGAATGGGTATTCAGAATGTCACATCATTAAACATGAAACAATGGAGAGTAAGTTAAAATTCTTAAAAAATCCGCTATTTAATGGATTTCGAATCAAATCACAGTTCAATAAAAAAATAATTTTTTTTACTTTTCTTAGTTTTACATAAATAAAAACTATTTTGTATTCTGTAACAAATTTATCAGATTAAATTGAGGATCTATTGGGCACATTAAAATTGTAGGAATATTAAAAATTGAAGTTATAAAGTTAATAAAACTGTCTTTTTTCAGATATTGAAAAAAGCGTACAGATTGGAACAACCAATGATTGATTTTGACGAAGAAAAATAATTATAATCACTAACGTACTTTCTTATCAATGCAAAAAAGGACATGTAATTTCTAATTTATATTTATGGTATTGCATTAGATTTTCAATTATATACTGTATCAATTATTTTTCCACAATTTTGACAGAAAGTTATTAAAACATTATTAAAATAAGATATATAATGAATATTATTGCGTTTTTGTAAAACTTTTATTAATGTCTAATATATACATCGTGATTCCTACAGTTAATTAGTAATAACACGATTATATTAATTAGATCTGTGGAGAAAGTCTAGAAATATCATATGTTGATGTTATATTCTGACTGAACAATTCAAGTATAGTTTCTAATGAATGCTTTTGTAACGAAAAGAAGGTAAAGCATAAAGCAACCTTTCAAGTAATAATTACAGTAATAATTCATATATGTTGCGATAAAGAATCCAGTAATATCTTCATGCTCTTTCACTTATCTTTTATACTTTTTTACTCAAATACACTTTTAGTACTTGTTTATTTAGATCTCTTCAAAGAAATTGATATGATAAAAAATTATAAGAGAATGCAAATTTCACTGGAAGGTTGTCATGATAAAAAAAAAAAAAGATTAGATAGAATAGAAAAAAAAGAGATGATAGAATAAAATTTAAACGCTTTTACGATGACTGTAAGTTAATTTATTGTTTGGCTAATGATTCTGCTTTCGCTACAACTTCCTCAATCGGGCCGACCATGTAGAACGCTACTTCTGGTAAGTGATCCAATTCTCCGGCCAAAATCTTTTGGAATCCTTTGATGGTTTCTTGTAATGGTACTAGTTTGCCGGCATGACCGGTAAACACTTCGGCGACCTAGAATGATACGATTGACTTTTTAATATGATACATAATGAAACAAAGTAAAACAATCGGTTATCAAATACCTTACCACATATGATACAAGAAATTTTGAATGAAAAAATATTCCAAAAAAACCAAGAATCAAAAACAGAAACAAATCACAAATTTAAATAAACTAAGTAAATTATAATACTGGGTCCCTTGAAGAACGTAAATCCAAATGATAAGAATGAAGAAAATAATAAGATAATTTATGAAAGTAACGCTAATATTTCAAAAATTGCGATTTTCAAAGAAAGGATTCCATCAAATTTATATATAGTGTTTTATATTTATATTAGTGTTTACCTGGAATGGCTGAGACAAGAACCTCTGGATTTTACGCGCGCGTGCAACCGTCAGTTTGTCTTCCTCTGACAATTCGTCCATACCCAAGATTGCAATAATATCCTGCAGCGATTTATAATCCTGGAGGATCTTCTGTACACCACGAGCAATATTATAGTGTTCCGTTCCAATAATATTGGGATCCATGATACGGGATGTGGAGTCGAGAGGATCAACAGCTGGATAAATACCTATATCGCCAATAAATGCTCGAAAGATTATCGGACACAATACCGTGACACAATAGATGCAATTCTCAGAGAGATACGTACCTAACTCAGCAATGGCGCGTGACAACACGGTTGTAGCGTCCAAGTGAGCGAAGGTGGTAGCAGGAGCAGGATCTGTCAAGTCATCAGCAGGCACATAAATAGCTTGAACAGAAGTAATGGATCCCTTCTTCGTCGTGGTGATACGTTCCTGCATGGTACCCATGTCGGTGGCTAACGTAGGTTGGTAACCCACGGCGGATGGAATACGACCCAACAAAGCGGACACCTAAAACACGTATATACATTATAGACATATTAATAGTTATTAAGAGTTTGAAAATATTTAATTGACTTATGAGATGATTAACCCTTAAATTCCACCCGGGGTCCAGCGGACCCCAGACCCTTTACAATGATATATTTTCAAATGTTTCCCCCAAAAATGGAGCTCATGCTCCCATTGATGATAGTTGAATGATTGACCTACCCGGTTGTACACTTAGCAGTACTCAGTTTACTTAATTTTTTATACTATGTTGAAATTAAAATTTTAACAATATAAGCATTTTATTCTCTTTTCTAAGCCTTGAACAACATTGAAAATAATTTTCATAACTAAATATCAAAAAATCAATGAGTAAGGAAACATTTTTCATGCTGGGGTCTTTTAGACCCCATGTGTCATTTACGAGATTCTTGAGAGGTGTGGCATTTAAGGGTTAAAGACGAAAAAATTGACCTTGTCAAAAACAGAAATTTTTTATTTTGATAAACAGGTGATTAGATGGATCTAAATAATTCGTAGAATGCAAGGCGACACAGCTTGTATAATCTCTTTTTACTTTTAATATATCGTGCCGATCGTCCGCAATAGCATAAATGATAATGAGTGGCTCCTGGACTCGTCGCGGCCATGTTGGAATGTGACGTCAGAAGCGAGAAATGACACGTTGAAAATTCTTACATAGTATTTCCAAATAAGAAGATATTTGCTTAAAATAACACTACAGATCATTTCAGCAAATTTCAAAAATACTCCGAGTTACATCCCTTTTTCTTGACAGTTATTAAACATCTGTAAAACGAATGTGATACGATGCAGGTTTATGCACCTGCGACGAGTACCCAGGAGCCTTAACGTACTATGTTAACTCAATTGGGTGAGAAATATATTTATTGTTTAATCATTTTTATATAAATAACTTCTCTGGAGTAAATTGCCAATATGTACAAAAGTCGTGTAAAATCTAGACAAAAAATGCAAATTATTTATATTATCAAAATAAAAAATTATGTATATACTTGTATATTTGCAATATTTCCGATTCTTTAAACTAAATGAATCTTATGTCTTATTTTGATATATTGGATATTGAAAGTAGGCTCTGATACTTTAAAAATTTATAGTACGTATTAAAAGGGATAAAAAATACTTCAACACAACGTATTTTTCACAACATCTCCACGGAAGTTCGACTTTCCATGCCTGTAGAGAGGGGCGAAAGTGACCAATTTCACGCCAGGACGGCATTAGCGGGACGAAAGTAACCACTCCCTAGGGCGGAAAGTGATCACTTTCGTCCCGCTAAACAGGGCCCGCTAAAGTGGCCACTTTCGTCCCGCTATGCCGTCCTGGCGTGAAATGGCCACTCTCGCCTCTCTCTAGGCATGGAGGTCGAAGTTTCCGTAAAGATATTGTGAAAAATATCGTGTGCACCTCGGGGCGAAAGCTTTTTCAGAAGAAAAACGCTACTTTCGCCCCTTGGTGCACAATATACTATTTTATCCCTTTTAATACGTACTATAAATTTTTAAAGTATTAAAGCCTTCTTTCAATATCCAATATATCAAAATAAGACACAACATTCGTTTAGTTTAAAGAATCGGAAATATTGCAAATATACAAGTATAAAATTTATTAATTATATAAATTGAAATCACATAAATATATTAATAAAGTTATAAACTTTTCTTTGTCAGTTATGTATAGGTTTGCTTATTAAATTATATCTATTTACCTCGGAACCAGCCTGAGTGAATCTGAAAATGTTGTCAATGAATAACAGCACATCCTGACCTTCCTGATCACGGAAGTACTCGGCGACAGTGAGTCCAGTTAGAGCTACGCGGGCGCGAGCGCCAGGCGGCTCGTTCATCTGTCCGTACACTAGTGCTACCTTAGAGGTCTTGTCCTTAAGAGAAATGACACCTGATTCGATCATTTCATGATAAAGATCATTACCCTCGCGGGTTCTTTCACCCACGCCGGCAAATACCGAATAACCACCATGAGCTTTAGCCACATTATTGATCAGTTCCATGATGAGTACAGTTTTGCCAACTCCAGCACCACCGAATAACCCTGACACATAATATCGATGCGACTCGTAATATGGACATTAACATAAATAAATTATTAATTTCAATAACATATTAGTTAAAAAATCCAATTCTTTTTTTTTTTACTTTCCATAGTTCTAATTCTATCGCAATGTGTCTTACCAATTTTTCCACCTTTGGCGTAAGGAGCTAGCAAGTCCACGACCTTGATGCCCGTGACTAGAATCTCTTGTTCGACGGACATGTCTACAAATTCAGGAGCATCTGCATGAATAGGGGCTAGCTTATCTGTGGGGATGGGTCCGCGTTCGTCAATGGGTTCACCAATGACATTGATAATGCGGCCCAAAGTCTCGGCTCCTACAGGAATACGAATAGGATATCCAGAATCTAAAACGTTCTGACCACGTACTAGACCTTCCGTACCTACAAATACGAGTGACCTATTGCTGTATCTACCAAAAGTCAATTTGTATTTATGCAAAATATATTAACTCTTAATAAAGCTTTCATTAAATTCGATGCACATTTTATGCAAATCCATAATTAAAATTTGCAAATCTACATACTGCGTTTTATAATATCTAAAAAATATTACCGTCCATAGCGATAGTGCGTACTGTATTTTCTCCAAGATGCTGAGCAACTTCAAGTACTAGCCTGGGTGTACGATTCTGTACCTCCAAAGCATTAAGGATAGGTGGAAGAGCATCGTCGAATTGTACATCAACAACAGCACCAATGACAGCTACTACCTTTCCTTGCGCACCACCTTTGGGTGCAGCTGCAGCTTTAGCTGCATAGTTTCTTCCTATTTCAGATAATTAAATCTTACATTTAAGCCTCAGAAATATTGTACATAATTAAGAAGCTGTACATAACTAAAGAACTATATACACCTAAAAGATAAAAAATATACTAGTTTTTGTTAATTTTTTTTAAATAAATGATAAGATTTCGTGATCCATTAGTCTAAATGTCACAATTATCTAATCTAACTACACGCTCAAAAGACAAGTGATTGAACATTTCTCTTTGACATAAGAAATTATCTTAAGTTATTTCTGGGAATTTTAAGAAAACGATTCTTCAATTCTACTTAGATTCATATAACTCCATAAACGAATAGTTCAAATGTTTTCATACCTCTTGAAGAAATTAATTTCAAGATACCCCCAAATTCTTGCGACGATTAAATCGAGAAAACGTTACGAACATATGTTACATAACATAATACGCTTGTATAATAACTATTCGTATGATGTTAGCCGACGACTGACACTTTTTTTTTAAATTAAGTGTGAAATCGATTGTATTTCGTTTGTAGATTTTTGTAGTGCATTTATTTTCGTTTGTTAGTTTATAATTAAATTTTAATTAATTATTTAATTTGTAATTGTAAACCATGAAACTAGCCGACATATGTATTATAATTATTATAAAATTTAAAAAATAGGTGTGGAATTGATTGTATTTCATTTGTAGATTATTGTAGTGCATTTATTTTCGTTTGTTAATCCATATAATTAATTTTTAATTAAATATTAAAGTGTCAGTCGTCGGCTAACATCATATGATACAGCAACATATTATAAAATAAAAAAA